CTTCTAAATTAGCCCAGAGTCAATTTAGTGCCCAATAACATTCTAGTGATAGTCTTCATAGGAATAGGGGGAAAAAACTTAAAAGTCATATGAAAACACCAAAGACCAAACTTCTAAAGCAATCCTGAACAAAAAAACAAATAAACAAAAACAATGCGACACCAGGTCTCTCCACACCTGATTTCAAATCACACTATAGAACCACAGGAAGGAAAGCAACTAGAGAACACGGGCAGATCTGTGGAAGAGTCGGTGGCAACGGTGGCTGCAGTTGTCGTCTTGAGGTTTGCTAAGGGCAGTGTTTTTAAAAAAGTTCCTGTCACAAAAAGATCAGTTTGTGTTCAACTGTCTTCATTATCCATCTGTAGTTGTCATTCAAGCAATAATGTGGAAAGAAGCGTCCATTGCGGGGGCAAGGGGCTGCCAAGAGCAGGGACACACAAGACACCTCTGCAGCCTCTGCTTTCCCTTATCACCAAAAAATCCTTCTAAAAATTTATTAATTAAAAACTAAGCTTTAGGAATTGAAACAGCAAGTACTGCCATAATAAGAGTTGGTACATAATACTAACTAATGTAGAGAATTAGAAAATGCACAAATAAATTCACATATTTGTGCGACTAGCAAAATGTTAAGAAAATACTATGGGGGAAAGGATGTTCTAATTCATTTAAACTACTGTTTATTTGTTTATTTATTTATTTAGTCTCAGTGTGGGAGGAAAGTGCATGTGCATGCTAAAGTATACATGTAGAAGTCAGATAACAGCTTTTGAAAGTTGGTTCTTTCCTTCCGCCGTGTGGGTCCCAGAAATTGAACTCAGGTAATGAAGCTTGGTGACAAGCATCTTTGCCCGCTGAGCCAACTATGGCCCAGTACAGTCTCTTTAATTCATAAACAATTTTAGGATGCTGTATATCCAATGTAAAAGTAGAAAATTGGATTTTTACTTTACATACACATCATACAATAATATATGTGCATGTTTATATATGTACAAAAATCATGTGAATTATATACATGTATTCCAAAAGGATTAAAGGAAATCATAGAAACCATAGATCTGAATTTATGAAAGTTCTGGAAGGAAATATAGAGAGGAATTTCATGACTATTTTTTAAGTGATAAATTTTTTATATGACCTGAAATCACAGCAAAGAAAACAATCAACAACAAGACCTACAGATCTGGAGAAAGTATTTACAAATTATATCTCTGATAACGTGGCACAGCATCACGTATATGGAATCTATAAAAGTCAACAGATAGACATTGTGGTAGAATGGAAGTTGCCATCTGCCAGAGAGTGGGGGTGGAATGGGGAGACACTGGGCAGAGCACTGAGCTCCAGTTGATAAGAACACAGTTGTAATAAGATCCGTTGGGCATTGTGGTGAGTACAGCTGATACGAGGACAGCAGGTTCTAAATGTTCCCTCTGTCACAAGGCCAAGTGTGTGAGACGGTGGATAGCGTCCCTTCATCACTATAGTCTTCAGAGTAACCAACACAGCACACTGGGATGGTCACACAGGTCAGCTTAAGAGTTCTGGGTGGTGTGGGAGGTGCACAGCCCGCAGCCTTGTGCAGCCTAAGCAAGCATTGTCCTAAGTAAGCTCTGCTCCAGCTCCTGGGTTTCTGATATATGATCCCACTGTGTAGCCCAGGCTAGCCATGAATTTGCTCTGTAGGCCAGATGGGTCTTGAACTTGCTATCCTCCTGCCTCAGCAGCCTGACTGCTGGGATTAGGTCCATGTATTATATGCCCAGGCACAAATAATTATTAATTGAGAAACAATTTATATCATCATGTAAATTTAATGGAACAATGTATGAAAAAACTTGCCATCATAATGAAAATGTACTCAGTGGACAAACATGTCTTCCTCAGAGGCCTTTCTTTAAGATCAGAACTTTCTGTAAAGGTTTTATTTTTAGCAGCTGTGAGATTTTGAGCATATGTATTTATGAGTTTGAGTTTCTTCTATGCAGTGAAATGTTAGCAACACTTTATGGGGTTGTAATGATTAAATGAAATCATGCTAGGTTTAGCCCATTTCTTACCCAAAATCACTTTAAAGATTTATTTTATGTGTATGAATGTTCTGCCTGCATGTACGTATGTGTCATATACATGTAGTACTGAGGAAACCAGAAGAGGGCATTGGTTCCCCTGAAAGTGAAGTCATAGACAAGTTTCCAGCTATCCTGTGGGCACTAGGAACCAAACCCTGGGTCCTCTGCAAGAGCAGAAACTGTGGAGCCATCTCCACAGCCCCAAAAGAGTCACTTTTAAAGAAATTTACAACAAGCATGACGCCCATTGAATTTTTTCACTCCAATAGCCTCAGTAGCGCAAACATAAAGTCACCTAGGGATGACCCACTCAACGTGAGAAGTGCCCTCAACATTCATACTCTTCCTCAGGGACTCAGACTGGGCTGGCTCCTCACCAGTTAGCTTCCTCCAGACTCCAAAGGCACTTCCCAACCTGCTCTTGAATCTTTTCTCATCTCCCTTCCTTCTTTCCTGTTTCCAAATCTGCACCGCCATCCCCACTTCTTAGCTCTCAGCTTCTAAAAATATATCTCACAGGCATATCTCGGCCTCTCCCATCTCCATCACCGAGGAGCAGGCCTTTAGCCCACTTTCATCTGGGAAATATCAAAGCCTGTGACCCCTCCCTGCTCTGTCTCCTTCCCCACGAACCTCATGTCTGTTCTAATGGAGAGAGGCAGTCCCTGTGAATGTCTTCCTTGTTGGGACCAGCGGAAGAAGGGGAAGAAGCAAGGCTGTGTACCCTGTTTCATTTCAGTGAAGTCAGGAGGAGGAGCAGACTGGGATGTTAAAGATGAAATTATGAATAGCCTTTTCACATTGACAGCTTTGACACGCCCTCGGAGGCTCTTCTTTCTCAGGACATAACATGCTTTTTCGGATCTGAAGATATGGTCAAGGACATAAAAGGTGAAATTGCTTTTATAATTCGGGGTATTTTCTTGAAAGATATGTTGGAGGGTTCTTGGCATATGTCACCTAACAGTCACTGAAACGGACAGAAAATCAGCCCAAGTTTTCCTGTGTGTAAAGAAAGAGATGTTGGTCTCCTGTAAAATTTAAATTACGGCTCACATGACTGAATACTGGTAGGTCTTAAAGGGATTAAAAACACGGGATACACAGAACCTGAGACCCTGGATGTAACTCTATCACTGAGTGTCAGCTGTTAGTGAAATAGGACCTGAAAGTAGGTTTGCTGTCCTTGGCTGATGCCCTCTGTTACTACATAAAACGCTGTGTATTTCTTAGGTTGGGAAGACATAACCAGCGGGAAGGTTGACAGCCACATGCTGCCAGGTGACCACTTTTATCTGTTGGAACCTGAGAACGAGAACTTCATCAAGAACTATATAACCAAGTGTTTGGAAGTGTCGTTACTCGCTTGCTTTTAGATGGGCCTTCAAACATGGAAACCCACCACAAGCTGTGCCTCCAGCTCCTGGAGATGCAGCGCTTTAGTTTCCAGAGACTGGAAAGATGCATATGGATGGATTTCTTCATGGAGCATCTCTCTATCTGGGGAAAAGGCTAAGTGTCAGGGAGGCGAGGGGCTACTGTAGCTGAGGGCTGCAGCAGGAAGGGGCTGCTTTTCTTTGGGGGATGTGGCCACTAGTCGGTTACCTACGCGCCATGTGCACCCTCCTGACACAGCAGGCAGCACGAACTGGACTCAGTGCGCTGTTTAAAAAGATGAGAAGGGTGGCATAGAATTGGGAGGGGCACACATTGGAGGACATCCGTAGGGGGCGGGTTGGAAAGGCAGGTGAGGGGCGGATATGATCAAAACACATGTATGCATTTAGGAAAATTTCAAAGGATAAATAAAAATATTGTTAGAGGAAGAAAACTTCTGCTAGTGTCCTTTACCTTTTTATTAGAATTTAATTTGAGTGACTTTTATATAAAGTTTTATCAACAAAGTGTCTTCTGGTGGGGTAACACCTGAAGTCTCTTGCACTATTCTAGGGGCAAGAGTGATTGACAGAGGGAAATGATCATTTCTCCATCACCACACTGTGACTCAAAGTGTAATCTAATCTATAGAATCTATAGAAATATACATTAGCCCTGCTGCATAAGAAAGAGCACTTGCTTTTTTTAAAAATCAAAATATAATACTAAACAATTACTGCCCATCGTGATAGGAAGACCTCGGGGTGCTTACAACTCAGGTGTCTTGTGATCCTGCTGCCCTAGGAGTGATTGGCTGGCACTCAGAGCCCTTCCATGGGCAGCCAAACCACAGCCTGGTTATGTAACTTGTCCATATCATATAGGAAGCCAGGAAGTGGCCTGGATGCAATTCCACCTCTCACTCCAGAGTGCCCACATTCATGGGAGCCCGCAGTACATGCATGGTGCAGCAAAGGAACTGAACCGTTCTGTTTCTCCAACCTACTCACAATTTCCTCCAGTCTTAGGCTTTCCTGTTTTGGGACAGGGTCTCGTGTAGTCTAGGCTGTCCTTGAACCCATGACCCTCCTGGCTCCGCTTCCTGAAGCATTCACAGTGGTCTGGCTGCCACTCATTCTGAACAAACTTTTCTTTTTGCCCAGTAGCACTAACTCATCGTATAAGAACAGATTAAGTCAAGAAAACAAACACTGAGCCTTGATGGTTCAGTCAGTAAAGTGCTCGCCTGTAAACCTGAGGACCTGAGTTCAAGGCCCAGATCGCCAAGCATGATGGAACACATTGTAATCCCAGTCCTGGGGAGGCAGAGGGAAGAGGATCTCTGGGGCAGTCAGTCTAGCATACTTGTTGAGCTCCAAGCAAGGAGAGACCCTGCCTCACAGGAAGCAAATACCATATCTTAGAAAAAACAGCCAAGGTTATTCTCTGACCTCCCATGCATACATACATACATTATGTGTAACACATACATATGAACACCCATATACAGACATAAGTGCAAAAAGAAAATATATTTATTAAAGTTTATATGCAGACTACAAAATGATTTTTGTAAATCACCTTGTACAAGCAAGCAAAATTAGGTAATTATGTTGACATAGTCTAAAGTATTAGAATCCATGCTAATAGGAAAATACACATGATTTATACAGTTGTCAATGCATTTCCCCCTACACACCACGTTCCTATTATGAAGGCTTTCAAAGGAGATCTGTCTCCCCTGTCAAATTCTAAATTCCATATTTCTCGATCAGCTCTCTTGCTTTAGAAATATAGGCCCTCATTGCATCTTCCTTCGACAACCCTAGAGAGATACAAACACGTTATCTTACTGACTCGTGTGGACAGAGGTTAAGAAGGTTTGTGTTAACTTATTTAAAAGTTAAAAACCTTTTTTGAGGCTCCACGCTTCCCACTTGGCCTTGCCTTTCATATCTAACATTACTGGACATGCTGCGAAGAGGAGGAGAGAGTTGCAATGTTACTTTTCACTGTGCACTTCTACAAACACTGTGAACAAGTACATTTATTTGTCTAAAACAAGCATCAGGTACCACCAATGTTGATGTCTCCGATGATGGACTGTTTGTAGAGCCCGTAGATTTCTTTGAGTTCTTCATCTTCTGGTCTGCTTTTCAGCTTCCTCACGTCTTGTGTGGCCTGGTCAAAATCAGCCTAGTACAAAAGACAAGGACACACAAAAGGTGCATATGTGGTGTGTATACACACCTGCAAGCAAGACATACACATAAAATCTAATTTTTTATTTTAAGTCTCATGTCAACTGTCTTTCAGTAAAGTTGTCTAGCTTACTCTGGAATGTGTGGCATATGTGTCTTATCCCGAGGAATAATTTCTTTTGCAATCTCTCCCACTCCTCCCGTCTCTTCTCTCCTCCCTCCCTCTATAACAAATGCTGAAGAGAAATCACTTCACAAAGACAAAAGTTGGTTAGCAGCCATTGGTGTGACCACAGAGCCAGATGATAGCTACAGGGAAACACATCCGGAGGAGCCTGCCTCAGAGGCCGGTGCTTGCAATGACTCTTGGGTAAGGGTGCCCAGGTGTCCAGTGTGAAGACAAGAGCTGGCAAAGGCGGTCCTGGCCATCCAGACAGACGTCACCAGGGTCAAGCATAAAGGATTGGATCAATCACATCAGCTTGTTCCCTGTACAATCACAATAAAGGGCAGGCACAGCTATTCACCCCGTCTGCTGATTGCTGTCAAAAACCTGACCACAGACCATTATTAGATCCCTGGAGGGTGGATCAGAATATTATCACAGTTGACACATCTTTATGTTTATCTGTTCACAGTGAATTCCAAAGCATTCTGGGAAAAAGGAATGCCACCTTCCCTATGTTTCTGTGCCCTGGGAACTGGCTCCTTGTGGCAGGTGTCTTTGTTTTGGCTAAGTGGGTGTCCCGCATCCTTATTGATGTGTATCCTTGTAATTTTCCTCTCACTTGCGAACAATGCCCCGTCCTGTTCACGAGTGTGCTCCAAGGCCATTGTTCCCACCCTTCCTGTGGCTGGGATGATACCCATAATGGGCACAGAAACCATCTCAAAGAATGACCTGGGGCCTCTGCATCCTTCCATTCAAAGCTCACCCCTCTGAAGGTGCTCAGAGTTTCCTTCCTTCACTTTCTGTAGAGACTGAACAGTCAGCTCACAAATCAGCCTGGTAAATCCCTTTGAGCAAGCCTTCCTTGATGAAGGACTGCATTAGGAAGATAAATCCCTCAGTTATCTGATTCACACTAGAGTGTGTGTGTGTGTGTGTGTGTGTGTGTGTGTGTGTGTGTGTGTGTTGTGTGTATGTGTCTACTGAGTGTAAACATCACCCTTCCCCTCCTGCTCCAACACTTTTTGTGCTGTGTAGGAATCAAACCTAGGGCCTCGGGCAAGCTCCTTACCACTGAGCTGCATCTCCTACCCAGAAAAGACACAGCACCCAGTCCACTCTTTAGCACCATCGCCTAGCAAGGAAACATGTCTGAGTAAGGTGACTGTCCCGGCACGTGTGGAAGCAACACCTGGAATCCTAGCAGCAGAGAAGCTGAGGCAGTGGGATCAGCCAAAGGTTGAGGCTAGCCTGAGCTAAATAAAATAAAATAAACAAAAGATCTATATTACGATTTACATATAAAATTGGGAGATTATAACTGAATTGGGAATTCCATCTGTGTTTTCCCTTCCAGAACAATAGTGAATTTACCATGACTGTTCCTTCCACTAGAGAGCCACTAACAGCACCCAGGAGGGACATAATGTCTGTCTTCTTCCACTTCCATTTTAAAGACAGAAGAGGTTTGAATATGCTAACCAGCTACTAGCTGTTGGCTTTTCAATATATTGTTTACTTTTATTCCAATTTTAAATTTTGATTTTTGAGATAATTTCAGACCCAGTACAAGTTATAAAAATACCACATCTTTAGTTCCTGCCAGGTTTTCCTAGGTATAATCTTTGTAACAAGTCCTTACCTCCCGTTCTCTCAGTGTGCAAATGAACTAACAGTAAAGACCTGCGTGTGTGTGTGTGTGTGTGTGTGTGTGTGTGTGTGTATTAAGGTTAACTATGTTGTCCAGGCTATCCCAGAACATCCAGGCTTAATAGATCCCCATACTTCAGTTTTTCTAGTGGTGGCCAGTGATTCTTGGGACCTCCTGAATACTAACTGCCCTACCAACTGAATCACACAAGCCAAATCCCCTTTATTTCTTAAATGGACTTCCCACCTGCCTTCATCTTTCCTTTATCCTCGAATTATTTCTTGTTTTGGTGTGTTTTTGTCTGAGACAGAGCCTCATTAGTATAGTATAGCTTTAAATCTGCTGAGCAGCGAAGGATGAATGTTGATTCCCGATCCTTCTGTCTCCAAGTCCTGAGTGCTGGGAGTAGAGGTGTGTACTGCTACACCTGACTTTGACTACCCCTCTCCACCAGAACTTACTGTATTTTTTGGTTATATTATTACATTGGTAAGGATTTCAAATTGAAATAATAAGCATATGTTTTAACAAAATTTCATCTGTAATACTTTATTCAAGCACAAACAATTGCAGTGACTATAATTCAAGCATTTTTTGATCATACTGATGCTGATATCAAGTAAGCACGCGTTTTAAAACTAGAATCTTTTTTTTTCCTTCTTTTTTGTTTTTGTTTTTGGAGACAGGGTTACTGTGTAACACTCCTGGTTGTCCTGGATCTTGATTTGTAGACAAGAATAGGCTTGAACTCGCTGACACCCACCTGCCTCGGCCTCCCAAGTGTTGGGATTAAAGGTGCATGCCACCACCACCCCCAGCTAGGTAAAGTATCTTACTTAGAAAGTTTCAGGACAGCCAGGATGGCCTTGAACAAAACAAAACAACAACAAAAAGATATCCTTACTACTGCTGCTTTAAATGCTGCCTATGTGGCTCATCCAACCAGCTCTCTCCTCACTTTTATTTATTCTATGTTTGCTGTTGTGTGAGTGCGGATGCACAGGTCCCATGGCATGGTGCAGCTCAGGGAACAATTACAACAGTCACTTCTCTGTCAACTACATGGGTTCCAAGGATGGAACTCACATAACTAAGTTTGCCAGAAGGCACCTGGCCTCTCTCCTCTAATCTAAGACGATAACTGAAAACTCTCTCTCTCTCTCTCTCTCTCTCTCTCACACACACACACACACACACACACACACACACAGAGAGAGAGAGAGAGAGAGAGAGAGAGAGAGAGAGAGAGAGAGAGAAACATGCCACAGTCTAACTAAGAGGGAGATGCAAACCTTAATGTCTCTAGGGTATGTCATTCAGTCGTGATATCATCTTGCCTGAAGAAATAGTTAAAGAAGTTGGCTATACTCATGATAGAATATGTAAAGCATTAACAATGTGCATCTTACAAGGCGACGTCGTAAGGAAGTGTTTCTAATATAACTGCTACATGAGAAGCAAATCACGAATGTGTAATGCTCACATACATTCACATATAATCAGACACAAATGGAAAAAAAGATATAAGAAAGCAACCTACCATGTGGCTGTCTACTAGGGGAAGGCTCTCCTGGTTTTTAATTTATTCATATTTATTCTCTTCACTTCTATCAATAAGACGGTAGGTTATACTTCATAGAGTAACTAGTCATGCTATTCAACAAAACACTTGCCTATGAGAACCTCTGAAGGTTCCAAGAGCAAGGGGACTTGAGACCCCTGTGGATGTCACCTGCTTCCCTGAGTTGTTCAGAGAGAGATGGAGGAGGGAAGCTTGTCAATTTTTCAGGTCTGGGTAATTTAAACCATCCCTGGAGCCCAGAGGGGTTGCTATGGGAACCTGGGTCCTTGTCAACAGATGGCGCGGTGTAGTCAACACTGAAAAAGCAAGACACTTAGGCAGGTGTGGGGACTGACTGCAGGGTCACAGTTGGGCGCTCCTGAGAGCTCCACTTGCCCCCGCCCTGCCCCAAAGCTGTCATGCCTCCTCTCACCCCATCAGTGCGCTCCTTCTCGGAGAATTGCTCCTGCAAACCCTTCCCAGATCTGGCTTACCTGCAGGGACATAGTGATGAAGTATAGAAGGCTGTGGCTCTCCAGCTCTGGGTCCATGTCCCCAGGGTTTGGTCGCCTTCTTAAAGAGAAGCGCTCCTCCTTCGGCCTCTCCTATAGGGTGCGTGCTCGGCATGGGAGGCTCTAATTGGTCACAGGGGCTGGAGGGCGGAGCCGGACGATGGCTTGTTCCCGCCCAGTCTCTCAGAGGAGGGGTCTGGGCTGCCCCTCCTTGGAAAGGGTTGCTAGATTATTATCTCTCTGCTCCTGGCTCACACTTCAATTTTTTTTTCTTTTTTCTTAAGAGGTTGTTTTCAGGAAGCCAAGAGAGGTCTCCCCAGTCTTTGTAACTCACCTGGGAGTCCTTGATCCTTCCTCTGTGATTCTAGAAGTCTGGGTAGTGAGTGTCAATGACTGGAAACTCTCAAGAGCCAGGACTAATACTCATTAGGATTGAAAAGGGACCAGGGCTGGTAAACCTTGTCTTAAGAAAGTAAGAACATTAATTCTAAGCTCGAGCTGCACTCATCTCCGCCGCTATTTATTTAGAGCAAAGCCTGCAGCCCGTTTAGGGGGACAGATCTCCCCAGATGCAAATTCGCCATCATCTGGAGACTGCAAGGTCTCAGGATGAAGCTGTGCACCGCGTTTGCTATGCTTACAAAGAAATGGAATAAGGAGTCCGGTTCAGGAGAAGAAGTTTTTTTTCTGACCGATTAAAACAGAGTTGTGGAGATGGGGACAGAATAAAAGAATCCCCGTTTTTAGAGAGACCGAATTTGAACACAGGTCAATACAACCGGTGATGAAGTCCCGGGGGGGCGGGGATATATATTTCTAACTAGGTTTTGTGTTAAATGTATTTTAGAAAATATTTGCTACTTTTTCATTTGTGTGAATTTTATTTTTTCCTCCTTTTTGACTATTTTTCAGTAGTGATATTTGATATTACCTGGCGCAAGTGAGAAGGAAACAGGGAACAGGCAACAATCCCGCTTAGGACTTGATTAGAGGTGGCGTGTACAGGCCTGGAGGTGTCAGTGTGCAGAGAGACAGAGAGAGAGAGAGAGACAGGGGGGGGGAGGAAGATGACACATCCAGCTTTTAAAAGCTGCCAAGTGCATGTGCACAGGGGCTGGACATGGCTACGTCTTATGCAGATGACAGGGTTCTCGCATGCGCACAAAGGCTTATGTGAGTCATAGGTGAACGATGTAATCCACGCCACATGTGGGTCAAGCAGGGCCCTGTAACATCCCGGGTGCCATTAGGTACTTCTCTTAATGGTAAAAATAAAAAGTAAAATGCGGACCCGCGAAAAGATCACAGGTGGGGCTCCTGGAGGAGAGGTTCCCAGGGCCTTTCTGCAGAGGGTGCTTCAGTCTGGTGATGGGCGGGTACTTGGTGAGACACGCGGGTAGCGGTCTCTCGGTTCTGTGGTAAGAGACACAGGTAGCATTGTCAGTTCTGTGTAGAGAGCAGTCTCTCTTCAATTGAGGGGCGGGTCACACCTGCTAAACAGCTTGAAGCTGTGTCTTTGGTTTGGTTTGTCCTTCCTGTTCATTGTCCTGTATGTCTGTGTATTGTGTGTTGTGCTTTTGTCCTGACTTAGACTGACACTGATGTATGGGACAGACTCAAATCATGACTTCTTTGACTTTGATATTGTGATCACTTCCAGGACTTTAGAGATAAGGCCATAACTTAGGTGTATGTTTTCCTTGTTTCCTTAAACATTTCATGAAAAGGAGTCAGCCTTGACCCCAAGCTGAGGGCTGTGGGGCAGTGTGCTGTGTGGCTGGGTGGCTGGGCTATGCAGCCTTGTTGTTACAATGTAGCAAGGCTGCCAGGCACAGTTGTAGGGGCAGTTGTACCCCAATAGGATTTCAAACACTAAACAGAAAAACTGGGGTTAATTACTATAAATATCTGTCATTATTTATAGGAGCTGGTTACAAATTTTTATTAGATAATGTATGTATAAAGTAAAAACTACTATTAGTCTCCAATGTTTCACACTGGTAAAGGATTTTATGTGATATAAATTGAAACATTTCTTTCCTTCTCTCCTTTCTATTTTCTTTCCTGTTTACTCTTCATTTTCTGATCCTCATGTAGAAGTAATTTATCTTTCTGAGTGAAAAATCCCTCAATCCCTAAAGTCATAGTTGTTCCCAAACATCTAACCAGTAATCAGATATCAAATAGTTATCAAATGTCCTCCCTGTGCCAGGCACCTTTTCATACTGATCAACTAACTCAGCAAGCTGGTTCCACCACAATCAGTCCAATTCCAAAGGTGCCAGCACAAATCGGTGAGAGCCCCACTCTGAGGCCACGCAGCTGTGGGAGAGGTTGACTGATGTGCTTCCTGTGTACGCATTTTTACTGTTGGAAAGTGGAGAGATCGGCAAAGACATCAAACAGCCCATTCCTCTTGTAAGAGAGAGCAGCATACCGTGTTTGTACCAAATGATGGTAACAGTGTATTCAAATGTTAGAGCGATTCTTTGGTTTTAGAGCAGTACGATTGTGATACAGGCATGGAAGCTGAGCCCCATGCACAGGCCTGTAACCTGGGTACTCTGAAGGTTAGGATAGGTGAGGTCCAAGTTCAAGGCCTGCCTAGGCTACACAGTGAGTCTGAGGCTAGACTACATGATTTAAAAGAGGCCTGGGAACATAGAGCAATGGCAGAACTAGGTTCAATTTTCGTTGCTTTAAACAAAACAAATCAGAAATCTCCAGAAAAATTCTTGCTTTTCTAGGTTTCTGTGCCAGTGGAAAGTTTGTCACGTTTCTTTCTTTTCTTCCTTCTTTCTGTTTTTGTTGTTGTTGTTGTTTGTTTGTTTGTTTGTTTGAGGCAGGGTTTTTTACTCTGTAGATCAGGCTGGTCTCAAACTCATAGAGATCCTCCTGCCTCTGCCTTCCAAGTGCTGGAATTAAAGGCATGTGACATTCCCCCAGCTGTCCTGTTTCTTTTACTCTGTATACTGGCCTCCTGCAAGACTTATTTTCCTAGCTTTCGATTTTATCTCTTCTGTGTGTACACATGACTAGACTTTCAGCAAGAATGCGAACAAGACCAGCTCAGGAAAAGCGCTGAGCTTTTCAGATTTTCCGGCCAGGTCAGAGCGCAGCTGTACAATAGCATTGCATGCAGCTGCAGTTCCACAGCGATGCCTGGAACACCCACTGCATTTAATGTCTTGAAGGCAGTCAGCAATTAACAGCTCGCTCGTTCCCCCACCCCCTCCCTCCCTCCCTTCTTCTCTCCTCTCCCTCTTCCTACCTTCCCTTCCCTTCCCCGCATTGCAGGTTATAGAAGGCGGAGGGGTGGGGGATGGGAATACGCACAGAAACGAGAAGTGACTGCTCTGTCTACCGCAGACTCCAGCAGCGCGTATCCTGACTCAGACCACTGGATTATGCTGCCGTCTGCTGGCCAGAGTGAGACATTGAGCCAGACACGCTGGGAGGAAAATTGTAATTCAGAGCTCAGCTAGATTAATGTTAATGAATAAATGCACAGACTCTTTAAGGAAATGGAGGTAAATCTCTTTGAAATACAGCAGCAATCCCCAGAGTGAAAATCGCCACTCTAAATGTCACAAATGACGAGGAAGTGCGTGTAACAACCAAGTCTCGAATTCCACGCGGAGTTATCGGTAGAGACCCTGAAAGGTGGGCATTGCCTTAGTTCTCAGACTCACAGACTTTGAGTCATCTCTCAAATAACCTTGGAGTAGTGACGACCCCTGGCCAAGGCTCCATTGCTGTCAGTCAGAGCTGCTTATAACCCCACTCTTTGAGCCTGGCTCCTGCAAACTTATCCCTGGGTCTTGTAAACATTAGGTGTAGACATACGTGGGTGCCCTGGCATTTGTGTGCCTGCATGGAGAAGCCAGAGGTCAACCTCACTGCCCACCTGGTCGGCTTTGTTTGTTTGTTTTGGGTTTTTTGTTTGTTCATTTTTTATTTGTTGGTTGGGTGGTTTGTTTTTGCTTTGTTTCTAGACAGAGTTCTTCATCGTAGGAGCCCTGCTTGTCCTGGAACTTGCTTTGTAGACCAGGCTGACTTCAAATGCACAGATATTAACCTGCCTCTCCCTCCTGAGTGCCCAGCCCCCACCTTGGTTTTTTTGTTTTGGTTTGGTTTGGTTTGGTTTGGTTTGGTTTTGAGATGGGCTCTCTCATTTTCACCCAGAGCTTGCTAGATTCTGCTAGGCTGGCTGGCCAGTGAGGTCCAGGGATCCTGGCCTACCTAGTACTAGGATTTCAAGCTTCTGCCACCATGCCTGACATTCTTACATAGATTCTGGGGATCCAACTCAATTCCTATGCTTGTAATGCAGACATTTACTAAGTCACCTCCCCAGCTCTGTCCTTCTGTCCTTACCCCCCTCATGTTTCTGTCATTGCCACCTACACGAGGAGAGGAAGACACTGATTGATCTCCACATTGTGTCTTTCATGGTGTCCTCAGTAGCTCCTGCAGTGACTTCTTCCTGTAGACGTGTCCCACCTCTCCTTCCTGCATTTCTTCACTAGCAGAACTGTTTTCAGACCACAGTGATTCTAAGCGGTGACAGCAGCTGCCACCTCGTATATAGCTACGTGTCTTGCTCATTCCAGCCACCGAAGGACAAACACCACATCATCACACTTCTGAATAATACATTTTTATAGCCTTGCATTGCATTAGAAGATGCTTTGCATTGTTAGAGGAATCATCTTGTCTACGATGCTTGAATAAAAGATCCCTAGCCTAGGAAGACATAGATAAACAACTGGAACAAGGCAGAGTGTGACAGACAGATGGAAGTTTCCAGAAGCAGATCGGACTCTGAAGTGGTTTCTGGCTAAAGAGGGAGGAAATGGCGTTTGAGACTAATTTGAAGAGATACGGGTGGGGCAGTGGAATTGAGAGGCCGTTCCAGACAGAAAAGAGAAAAATAATGCATAGCCCCAGAGACAGAATGTGTTGAAGTGCTGTATGAATTTCCTGATTCTTACATAAACAGAGGGGCAGGAAGAAAGGAAAGCCATGTCTTTAGGGATGTTAAAGTCAAGCTATGGAGACTAGAGAGATGGCTCAGTAAATAGCTTACTGGGCAAGCATGTAAGGTATAGG